CTTCTAACCCTGCTGCACCAAGTTCAAGACCTCCTTCTGGCCCTGCTGCTGCACTAACATCAACACAAACTGTTGTCCCTGCTGCTGCACCAACATCAATACAAATTGCTGGCCCAAGAGCAACACCTAATGCTCCAACTGAAAGAGGAAGGGGCAGACCAAAGGGTTCAACAGAAAATGTGCTATAGTTTTCTTTATTTACTTCATGTATAAGTTTTAAATAAGTTGCTTTACTGAATATTTTGTTATTTTTTAGGGTAGTGTTGCTAGCAGAACAAGAATGGTTGGAATGGGTGCACTACACACACAAAGTGGTGCTACTACTATTAATGTAAGTTCCCTATTTCTATACTTAAATATCATTTATTATTTTTTCTTTAATCACAAATTAAGATTATTTATATTCATTTGAACAGCCTGGAATGCCTAGTGAAAGATTTAGAAATGTGAAGTCTTCAGCAGTTGTCACTGGAGATCTTGGACATAAACCACCATGTGGTGTGAAATGGAAGGGAAAACAAGCTATGACCTCAAGCCAACTTAAAGAGATGAGGGGAAGAAAACAAATGGAGACTAGGTCTAAGGCTGTACATTTGAGCCTAGAGAGCTCTAATGCAATCTAACTTGTTTTGGTAGATTTTTGTTGGTAATGCAATGTAGACATTTGTTTTGTTGGGTGATAGACAATGCAATGCACTTTATCCTTATTTAGTACCCTTATACTTAAGACAATGAATTGCAGTTGTGACTGCATTTTGATTTGTGGTGTTTGATTATGTAACTACTTTGACATATATTAACTTCTATTTTGATTAATGATTATGCAGTTATGAATGTCTGTTTATGTAACAGTATTGCTTCTCTTTTAGTGATGGTTTCTGTGTTTATGGAGGGCAATAAGTGACTACTTAAGCAGTGGCTACACAAACGTATAGTTTAGACAGTTGAGCAGATAGTTGTACACACTAAATATATAGTTTATGACCAAATACAAAATCAAATACTTGCAACAATAAATGAGACAAATTAAGCTAAGAGAAGCTTTGTAAATTCTTTTTATTACACAAAAGCATTACAAGTTCAACACAATATTGCAAATTTTTGGTACAATAAGAGATCATGACAATTTCCTTGAATGTCCTTCTCCTTTCAGAAACAAATACTCTTTGAAATACTAAACTTACACCTAAAATACAAACACACAATAGAGCAACTCCCTTTTCTTGGACTTGGCCAATTTGTTTTTCCATTTCTTTTCAATTGCTTTCATCTTCTTCAAATCATTATCACAATTGTCCATTTTTGACTCCTTCTTGTTCATATCTATTTTGCTTTCCATGGATTTGGTCGACTTAGTAGGCTTGTTGATTTCCTTATCCGAAGTTTCAAGTTTTCGAGAAGATTCAACACTATGTTCAAGCTCCGCAATTCTTCCCAACAACTTGGGAATCGCAAATTTGGATCTTGGATCAATATAATCATCTTTCCAAAGCCAAAAATCACATGATCTAGCATTCTTAAAAAACAAAACGAATCATTCTATGGCTCTTGAAACGACAAAACGAATTATTCAACTTTTAAAAAAGATTAACTTACCCCATAGTAAGGACAACCCCAATATCTTCTACTAGGATTTCTCGGGGTCCAAGAGGTCAGCAAAGGCAAAACAAATCCGTGTTTGCATCGCACCTCTTCCAATTCATGATCTTCCTCTTGTAAACAGAGCGTAGTCAAGCTTATTCGAGCCATTGTAGCACCTTAATAAGAATTACCGCGAATCAAACAACTAAAAATTCAAAATACGAAATAGATAAAAACAAATCAAAATGAAAAAGAGAGAAATGAATCAAAATGGAAAAGAGATGAATGAATAATAATGAAAAAGAGTTACCTTTGATTCAAAAGAAGGAATTTTGAACTATGTTTGAATTTAGGGTTCTTGATTCAGATTTTTGGGTGAAAATTTAGGGTTTTTGTTCATTAGGGTCGAGTGGGTGGGTTATATGAAGGGAATGGGAATATAACCGTTGGGTTAGATTTTTTTAATTAAAAAAATAAATAAAAATGACTTTATTAGCGTGTTGACGCGCTCAACTATGTGGAGCGAAACGCACCCTGGGTTGGGTGACAGAAGGGGGAAATAAATATACTTTTATGTACTTAAGATGTGTAATAGGTCACCCAATTAGTTAAAGTGTGTAAATGACTTTTGGGTATACGTTTAGGGGGCAATTTATGCCTTTTGCCATTTTTTTTTTCAATTGTTAATGTGTAACATTATGTAATGACAGAAGAACGATGCAATCTACCAAATATTATATTCATTAAAACAATATAGTAATGATATAACACAACATAATATGATACAATATATTATGAAACAATATACATAACAATCATCCAAAAAGTTTTTTTAGTAGATTGAAATTATGTTAAGATATGACTTAAAATATTATGATATGAAAATATAAATTTACGTCCTCAAAAAATATTTATTTTGAAAATAAAAATAAATTGTCACGACAAAATATAAGCAGAAGAGTAAATGACCCAATTTAAAATGAGGAAACAAATTGTACAAAATAACCACTTTCATATCGCTAATTAATATTTAACCTATCATTTCATAATGGGATGATTTAATTGGTGTTACCTACAAAATAATAGAGTAATTTCAATTCCAAATGTGCCAAAGGAAAAAAAAAGTTATAATGGAGTAATTTCATAGGTGGTATTAGATAAAATAATAGATTTATTCGTTCAATTTAATTTGTGGACTAAGTTATTTGAATTATAATATTTTTTTAATTAATTTGTATTAATTGAGAGGTAGGTACAATAAGATAATATACCAAGTTAGATAGATAAGATGAATATTCAGGCTTAATTTGAGATAAAATTTTTATTTATAATGTTATCCCGATTTCATTCAAACAAAGGATAAATTTTATCTCAAATTTAATCGTGAAATATCTCACATTATCCCATGAACCAACAATCCCTATTATAATCGTGCTATATTTCGAGCACTTGTTTTGGGGGTCTAATAGTAGCCATGGCATCAAATCACCATTAGAACTTGGAAGTTTGTTAATGGAGGCGCTTAGGATTAGCGTTAGGTTAAAGAAAGGTCTCTTTGATGGATTAAAAAAATCAAACGGCTAATAACGTGATTAATGGAGTAGTTACATGAGGCTGAATTATTTTAACCACTAATTTAAACATGATCAATGCCAACATGTGCTTTAGTCAATGTGAGAGCACAATAATTAATATTGTATTAAAACTGATAGGTAAGACAATTTAAGATTTGAAATCTACTAAGTTTTTATATTACTTTAAGTTAATACTACTCTTTCTAATTACTTTTATTAGTTCGGTCTGAATTTTGTATGCTTCTTAAAAATTAATATTTGACACGAGTATCTCATCAAAATATTCGTATTAATTGATAAGGTCTTAGGTTTTCGAAAATGACCTGAGAATTAAGTAATTAATGTTGAGGGTAAAATATTAAAAATTCTTTTAATAGGATAAAAGTGATAAATAAAAATATATATTTCATAATATATAGGACAAATAAAAGTAAAAGAAGGAGTAAATATTTAACAAATATCGTAGAAAATTTGAACAAAAATTATTGAATTCTCATAAATAGACACGTAATTCTTTGGATCCATTAAAGCACCTCCCTTTGAGCATATTATTGTGAAAAAAGTGTGTTTCAATTATAATAATGATTTTATTATTTTTGTATCGAAGTGAGTTTATGTAATTAATTATGCTTCTTTAATCATCCATTTTTTTGGTTTTTGCGCCAAAGAAATGGTTAAAGAATCATGTATTTCCTTAATATTATTTTATCTTAAAGAAAAAATTGTCGATCAATTTAAATTTTGATTCAACATTATATAGTTATACAAATATATTTAATCAAAATAGGATAAAACATAACTTTGTTATTATTTTTATACACATAAGTTAGGTAAGTCTTTAAGTAAATTATTTATATTAATCAATGACAAGAAATTAAAATTAATAAAGAGAGATTTAAAAAATGATTTACTTTTTTTTAGATTATCATTGAAGATTTTTTTTTTTTTAAAAAACCTTATAAAATAAAAGATGTATACATTCAACACCAATGGATGACAATCAATGGCATCTTTCCCTTAACTTTTACTCAATTACATAAGATAATAAAAGTAATTAATTACTCATTTATTATTATGTTAACTAGGGATTATACTATAAAAAAGGGATAAAAAAGAAAAGACAAAATAAAAACAAAAATAAGCCTTCATTTTTTCATATTATCCTTTGTGAGATATTTATAATTTATTATAAATCACACGTATTTTGAAGTCTTTATTTTATTCTTATATATTTAATGATCAATCAAACATTATCATATAAATTGAAATAAGAATGAACCGTAAGTACTTACCTAAAAAAGAGATAAGATAATAAATTTGTCACAACTATAAATGACATATACAAATAATCTAAGAGAGAACACTCCTTATAGTCCACATTATATACCGAATAGTATAAATATAATTTATTAATATACTATCAGATTATCAGTGAACCCATTAAGAAAAACCTCAAATAATTAAGAATCAATAATAAAAAAAGCTAAAACCATTATCAAAATTATTAAACCAATAACTTTTTTTCCTAGTTCGAATTATCAGTTTTAAACAACCCTAATTCAAATTTTTGAAAATGATATTTTTTTTTAATCGAAAGCATCATCAAAATTCGATTCAAACTCTTAAGTACAAATAATAGTCATGTCGGATAAGTCGTACACTCGTTTCTAATAGTTTTAATATAAATATTGAACACGGAATAGAAAAAAAAACCACTTACCTAAACAAGAGAGACAACCAAAGTTGAACTGACAAATACGCGGCCTTATTTTTTTTAATTTTTTTAACAAACACTTTTTCTATTCACATTAGGATTCCTCTAAAGAAACAATAAATAAATAATATAAAATTAAAAGTCTCAAAAAAACCTATTCAACACTTTCCTCTTCTTTCTTATCGAACAAAATTCCTACAAAAACCTCAAAAAAATATAAAAATATTGAAAAGTCGCGTTCCTCAGAAACTTCTTGGAAGAGCGAAAATTCCATAGATTTGATTTCAGTAGTTTTTGGGGTTTTTTGAATCGCAAAAAACGATAAGAATTGGGTATTTTGGTGTGTTTTTTTTAATGAAAAACGGTGTGGAGGTCTTCTTGGTGAGGGATTCTTGAATTTATAGGATTTGAGGTGTGATTTGGTGGGGAATTGAGTTTTTTTTTGTTGAGATGATGATGGCGGACAAGACGTCAGAGTATTGGTTATCATCGGAAGATCCGTCGGTTGATTTTGATCTAAATTTTGATGGGCCAAGTATGGATATAGATGATTTGCTGAGCATTATTGAAGAGAAATCGGATCCTCCTGCTCAGCAGGTAAAGTTTAATTTTTACTCAAAATTATGAACTTTTTAGCATGGTAATCTAAGTGATGATGATTCATTTAGTGGGTTGTTAGTAGACATGCAGTTCTTAAAAGATTTAGGGTTTTCCAGTTTGCTTTTGATCTAGATTTTTGCAAGCTCAGTTTGGAAAATCAAGAGATAATTTATTGTTTAGTTTGTAATTTACACTTGTTATTAACTATAGTCATTTTCGAGAGTTGTTTAGTTTGTAATTTACACTTGTTATTAACTATAGTAGTTTTCGAGAGTACTGAATTTATTATATTCGAAGGGTGATGTAGTAAAATTATCCTTCTATTTAGGGATTTTAAGGGGTATGCTAAATCAATATGGAATAAGTAGTAAGAATGGATGGGGAGGGAGTATGTACAAAGAAGGGGACACAGTTTAAGGTTTTAGATGGGACAATTATATAATTGAGCATTGCATGTTGGGATCATTGTATATTGGATTTTGTGTGGAAATAGAGTAACTAAGGACTTAGAGATTTGTCATTTGAGTTTGGAAACAATTGTTTATCTATAGTTATTATTACTCCCTCACAATTCCCTATTTAGTTTGTCCTAAAAGGAATGCCACTTTTCTCTATTTGGATACTTGATAGAATTAGGTCTATCTTTACGCGTAATGACACATGACTTTTGTTTGGGCTCACTTGAATTAAGAGTTTATTCATTTATTAAGAGAGAGAAGATGTAAAGACATGTGGAACTCGTAATCACTTGTTTTATTATGGTGGTAAGGACAATTGGTGCTTTTGCATTTCTTTCCTCGTTGTGTTGCATTAGTTTCCTGGATAGAGATCTTAGCTAAATTGACTAGATTGCCAAGTGGAATGGAAAAGATATGATATAACGACAATAGATAATCATTGTAGTGATTATTTTATGTGTTTGTACTGGAATACAATATACCTGCGCCATGTTATAAGATAATTTTTGTAGAAATAAAAAATTCAACGTCTGGAAGAAAGAAGAGTCTTGCGAAAAGACCTTCAAATAAAAGAATTTTGTACTTTAAGATGTAAACAGTGAAATGTCAATTTTGTGTACAAATTTCAACAGGTGTCATCTTGAAAGAATCCAAGTGCACCTTATTGTCGTTATTTTTCTGCATAGGATCATGACTGACTCATGATCTTGAAAATAATTAGCTAGGTTCATTAGTTACTAGAGATGCGTGCAGGGGCGGATCTATTGAAGGAGGGGGTGCCACGGCATCCACACACCTCAGTTGGGACTATGTATATATATGTATGATAAATATGGAAAAATATATAAAGTGGCACTCACACTGACAAATGATCATTTGGTGCCACTGGCTAAGGGCTGTATTTTCTGCCAGCAGGGAACGAGATCGAGCCCAGCCTGCTACATTTGTAGTGAACTATTTTGTTTTTTTGCATTTAATAAGCTTACATCCTTGCAGGATATTAGTTCTCTTTTTTTCTTTTTCTATTTTGCTTCTTCTTTTACTTCTTTTTCTTTATTTGTTGACTCTATATTCCATATGAGTTCCAATTGATTTTTTCGTTTAAAATCATTAACTCTTTCTTCTGTTTTTAAGTTCTCGGAGTTTATTAAGTTTTTTCTTTGAGCATCTAAATGTCCATTTATAGTGAGTTTGAGTTCTAGACGTCTAGAACTAATTACTATATGTTACGTCTTGGGTCTTTGAATGCCCAGCTATTAGGCATATAATAGGGACTCATTTCTTTCATTCTTGTGGTCCCCTGTGTTTTGGGAAGCGAGAAGCAGAGAAAAGCGACGAGGGCTCGCTCTGTGAAGCGAGAGGTGTGAAGTGAAGCACACACTTTTTTCAAATAAAGTGCTATTTAGTATAAAAAATAAAAAAATATTAAATATGCATAGATAAAATAAAAAAATATTAAATATGCATAGATAAATAATAAAGAACTCAATAGAGGTAACATATTAAGCGAAATATTTCAATTCTTAGATTAAAAAGCAAGTAGATAGTCAATAATCCTCACAAGTCATAACAATTAACATATAAAACAAATGCATAACCAAATCACAAAGGGAGCAAAATCCTATTCTTCAACAAGATCCTCAAATCAGAAGAAAAAAGAACAGAGTAACGCTACTTAAGTAGCATTACAAACAGAAAATTGAAGGAAAAAAACCCTAGTTACCAGAAAGAGAAGAAACGAAAAATACGCAGCACTGCAGGAAACCGAAGAGAAGTCGAGAAAAAGAGGAGAAGAAGAGAACTAACCTGTTGCAACAATCGCCCAAGGGGAGAAAATAATTGGAAAAACCTGCGTAAGTATTTTTACAGAAATAAATAAAAAAAACCTAGTTAGCACTTGTATCATTTGAGCATGTGCTTTTTCTCGCTTCTTTACTATCGCCTCGCTTCAAGGCATTAGAGCGATAACTTGTCGCTTTGCTTCTCGCTTAAAGCGAGCTCTTCAGCGCTTTTAACAACACTGGTGGTCCCATCGAAGTACCGGAGAGGGATCTCAGTGTTGGTTAATATTGGTTTCCCCATTGGGGCTTGGAAGAGAGTAATAATTTTCACATTCGAAGTTTGATTGATATCCACAATGAGATAAAGTGGAACAAGAGATGACATAAGGAAGAATTGATTGAAAGGATATTTTTGCAATTTAATCATTGAGAGTCATTGTATAACCATAATACTTTTTCTTGAAAATTCCAAGATATATCATTCAAAAAAAGCACACTCACAAAAAAGGTCTTTTAAGCAGCATAGATATTATGATATGTTACATTGAAGGAGAAAGAAATATAAAGAAAGACCTTTGTGATGGCCGTATCTTATAAAGAAATACTTTGTTCAGTTGAAACCATTTTGACATTTTAGCGTGCTTTCATTGTATAAATTGAGTTTTTCTTAGAGTATAATGTTCTATATTTATTTTAGTCTATAAGTATTGAGTATATTCATGTTCTTTTCTTACTTTTCCCCCCCTTTTCCTCTATGTGAGAGAGTGGATGGGGTCATTTGCAAGATCCGTGGCTCTTCAAAGAGAAACACGGAGTCCGCAAGTTTTCACAAATAAAGGACATGTTGGTTGAATGAATAATGAATTTATACATGTGTTTGAGTAAATTGAACAAATGGAAATACTCAAGTAGTATGATTTAAGTCTTTCACAGATAAAGGACATGTTGATAGAAACAATCTGTAGCTGTCTTTGAGTAAATTGAACAAATGAAAATACTTAATACAGTTGAAGGTCAGTGAATAATTAGTTATGGAAAATAGAGATATGTGGTACTATGCTTTAGTAATGGGTTTGTCAAGATGATCAATATTACTCTCAAGGATTACTAAAACTTCTAGACAACACACCTTGTAAATTTCAATGGCTTGTTGAATAAGTACTGGGCAACTGGTTCCATTAATGTGTCCAAGAGGTGTTGGACCTGGGCCAAGCGCAATTAAAGTTGATGTGAGATGTCAGATAAATTCTGGTTTTTACTATGTACTCTAAAATAAGTTGACAAAAAGCTTAATGAATGAAATCGGGCCACCAGGGTCATAAAGTCAAAAAACAAAAACGAAATGGTTATGTAAAAGCATATACTTCCAAGTCTTCTTTGCTTTCTATCTCCAGGCTGGGAATACATATTGTAGGCAGTCTGTCATTGGATCATGTGAATAATTTGGTCTTACAATTCTTACCCCAGTTTGTCAATTATTTTAATATTTGAGTATCGATTTGCAGAGTATGCCGGAGGTTTTATTGCAAAATGACATGGGACAAGGTTAGTTGAAATCCCTGCTTGGATACTTCAGGAATTTGATGTTGTTATTAATTTGTTATGAGTTTATGTTGCTTATTACTTATCATGATATTTGATTCTTGATCTCTATGCTATTTTTATTTAGGTTATTCAGATTTGGAGAGATCTTCAGCTTCAAGGGCTCAATTTCTTGGACACATTGGAGTTTCCCCTTCGTCTAACTCAGAAGTTTCAGATACAAGGACTGGTGTTTCCGATGGCTCATCTGATTCTGCAGGGAATTCAATTGTTGATGGCAGAAAGCTTGGATTTCAATTAGATAGATGCTCTCCAGTACATAATCTCTATGGAAGCCTGACTGATTGGGCATTTGGTCAGGACAATGAATGGTTCAGTGACAGGGATAACATCTCTCAGAGTACTTCATCTAATGTGCAGCAAGAAAGTAAGGGAACTCAAACTTAGATGTTGACCAGTTGTGGCTGTTTTAGCTTTGCTGTTAATACTGATCATATCAATGATAAATAAATTGAATACGGATATCAGCTATACAATATGTGAAACTCATTATTAACACTGGTTCTCCAGAGCAGGAATCTTGCTCTGAATGTATGTTGACCTTTCTGTTATTATCAACTTTGCTTGTAGGTTCTTTTCTGTTGGAATTTTTTATTTACTCATTTTTGTTTTTAATTTCTTTGAGAACATAATTGACATTTTAGGGTTGCTGCTAAGCCAATCAGCTGCAGAGAACAAGTTCAAAAGCTCAGGAACATTAGCTTCAGAAGAAACATCAAGCATGGAAGTAGCTGTATCTTTGGACGATCAATACTATAGACTTGGTTTATGTCAGAGTTCTGATGCTTTGCCTGGAAATTGGGATAATTATGCACGACCTTCCCATACATATTCTTTCTTGAAGCAGGATGCACCAAATAACCTTAATTTTGAAATGCTGTCTCACAATGATAAGATGCTAAATGTAATGGATGAACAATTGGACCATACAACTGGGATTGCTGACTCAGATACTGGAATAGCATGTGGGAATTGGACAACAAGAGCAGGTGAAGGAGTTCAGCAGGCTCCTGAGTGTCATATGACTCCAAATTTCGGTGTTGGGAACTTCAGTGCCTATTATAATGGTAGTAACCAAACATTATTAAATAGTGGCAACTTGTTCTCCAGATCAACAGGCAGCAATAATATGGGAAAGATATTTCCTCAGGCTTTGCCTCGCAATCAGTCAAGTTACCTTTTTCAAAACCAGCAGTTTTGCAGAAGTAATGAGAAAAATGAACTGCTAGGTGGTGCTGATAAACCTACAGTTTCTGAGCTCGCAAATTCATTTTGTGCTGCTCCTGTAACTTCCCTTTCAAGTAATGATCTTTTGGTGTATCCAAAGGATGAAAATGGTGTACTTCAATATAATAGGCCTTCTTATCACCTTGATAGTTTTGAAGAAACTTCTTCCGAAAAAAACATTCTGGTTCCTCATGATCACCTCGCGGATGTGAAGGTTAGAGAACAATCTGTCTCATTGTCATCAACTTCAATGAAGCAACAGTTCGGTTGTGCAAAATTAGAGAAGGGGGAAAAACGCAGGTTCTTAAAAGTTAATGGTTCTCGTCTATCTACAATCACTCATCAAGGAATTCAGAGAAATTCATTGAATCAAAGAAGCCATAGTGAGGATGATGATGATCTATGCATTCTCGAGGATATAAGTGCACCTGCAAAGGCGAATCCATGTGCTAATGGCAAGTCTCTTGTCGCTCTACAACGTACTACAATTACCGACTCTTTTGCTCCAGCTGAAGTGGGACAAAAGAGGTTTGAAGTAGGACAAATGAAGCCGAAGTTAAATGATGAGCATGTCATTTATCAAGTTGCCTTGCAGGTGAGGTCTAATAACTGTCACTATACATGCTGCAAGAACTGTACTCTGAAATGTTGTCATGTTAGTGACCCTTTTTCAAAATTATTATCTGTTCCGTAACTATTTCTCTGGCTATTTTCACCCCTTTGAATGATTTCTTCTCGTGTATCTTTGTTGGTAATAGTCTTATTAGTTTCAAAGAAGGAGTTGAAATCCTTTAAGCATGATTAATTCAAGGGATATGTTGGATTCTGCACTTTTCTGCTGTTGAATTTATGGTTTGCTGTGTATGTGCATGATTAAAACAGGAAATTTCTTCTCCTGACTTTTGAAAGATGTCTGTGTTATACTTCTTTTTGCTGGAAAATGTTGACACTGCATGGGGCCCTTTGAACCTGTAACAAATTTGTATTATTTTCACCTTAAGAAGTAAATTTTGATCAGACTAATGCTGTGATACCTGTTGCAGGATCTTTCTCAGCCGAGATCAGAAGAAAGTCCACCTGATGGTCTTTTGGCTGTTCCTCTTTTGAGACACCAGGTTGAGTATTGTTTCATGGTTTTATCTTTATAGGAATACAACATTCTGTTTTTTAAGTGCAGCATGTACCTGAAATTTATCAATCAAGATGGGAGATCATCAATATTGTTCTGAGTGGGTCTACTTGAATTTTTGGTGCAATTGCCTGGGAATTGAGAGAAATAATTTTTTACTAAAATAATATCATTAGCTAAAAAAAGCACAACTTATATGCCTGACAAATCCATCAATGATATGTGAATTCTCTGAACTATTCTATTGGTTGATTATATTGTGTATTTCCTGAATTGTTCAACTTTTTGTTTTTAAATTGATAACTAAGGTCTAAGGATACTATTAATATAAACAGTAGAGCATTAAAATGGTCAGGGAAATTCCTATGCAAAAACAAAATGAGAGATTCCTATCTAGCTCTATTCCTGTAGTGAGTTTATGAAATCTAACATGCTGTTTCCATCTTTTACAACCTGTGTCAATCCCCAAAAGCCAAAAAGCAAAGACGTTTGAACTTTAGCATCTGCATAGAAACTATTATCCCATCAAACCACCTGGAGTTTTTTTTACCCCTAAAAAACCCAGCAGACCCATTGTGGCACTGTATGCTTTAGTCATCCCTCCAAGAAGCCAACAGGTCTTTTCATCACTGTGAGAAGGCACGACAAAAGACAAGTTAAAAAGGTTGAAAAACAGATCCCATAGTTTCTTGTGCAGTACAAGAAAGATGGCTCCTATACTCTTCCTCCTTTTAATAAGTAGCATCTGCTGCAAATATTCATCCCCTTCTTTGCAAATTTCCTTGCATCAGACATGCATCATAGGCTAGCAGCCACATATTGCAGCCTATTTAGTTTCTCTAGTGCTTCTTCCTCCATCTGAAGGAGAATCTACACTTGCAAAAAAACAAGAGATCAACGTATTATATATTGAATTTATGTGAGGAATTATCTAATGACAGTCATTCTATTTATGCACAGCGCATTGCTTTATCATGGATGGTTAAGAAGGAAAAAGCTGCTGTACCCTGTTGTGGTGGGATACTTGCTGATGATCAGGTTATCTTTTGACGCTTTTAATTTGCCAAATTTTGATCTGTTGACATGATAAACATTGCCTTCCGACTAGTCATTCTCTCTTAATGATTGTCTTTTTTTTTAGGGACTTGGGAAAACTATATCAACAATTGCACTTATACTCAAAGAAAGGTCTCCATCTTCAAGACTTTCTACGGCCATCACCAGACAAACTAAAACGGAGACATTGAATTTAGATGATGATGATGTTTTATCTGAGTTTGACAAGTCAAAGCAGGGTGCTGATTCTTGTAAAGTTGATGAAAATTCTGGCATGGACTGTAAAACTTCTTTGCATGCAAAAGGGAGGCCAGCTGCTGGTACCCTTGTCGTTTGTCCTACCAGTGTCCTCCGTCAGTGGTCTGACGAGTTGCACAATAAGGTAACAAACAAAGCAAATCTCTCTGTTCTAGTATACCATGGTAGTGGTAGAACAAAGGACCCTATTGAACTAGCAAAGTATGATGTGGTGGTCACAACATATTCAATCGTAAGCATGGAGGTCCCTAAGCAGCCTGTTGGAGAAGACGATGACGAGACAGGAAAAGGAACTCATGAATTACCTTCTAGTAAAAAGAGAAAAACTCCTTCGAGCTCAAAGAAAAGTTCATCAAAGGCGAAAAAAGAGGTGGACAAGGAATTGCTTGAAGCCACTGCACGCCCTCTTGCCAGGGTGGGATGGTATAGGGTCGTGCTGGATGAGGCACAAAGCATCAAGAATTACAGAACCCAAGTAGCTAGGGCTTGTTGGGGTCTCCGAGCTAAACGCAGATGGTGTTTATCAGGGACACCTATCCAAAATGCAGTTGATGACCTTTACAGTTACTTCAGATTCCTCAAATATGACCCATATGCAGTGTACAAACAATTTTGCTCCACAATCAAGGTTCCAATCCAAAGACACCCAACAACTGGGTACAGAAAGCTGCAGGCCGTGCTTAAGACTGTTATGCTTCGTCGCACTAAAGGTGAGAATAATAACTTTTGCATGTTCTTACCCCTATAAGCTATATACCATTCAGACAGTGTTGCTTCTAATATGTTATAGTATGATTCCTTGGTGTATTTCACCATTTGTTTGTAGTATATGTTAGTCCTCTATTCCCCTATTTGCGCTCCTCTCTATTGTGCAGTTTCGTTCTTGAAATTATGCTTATTTTTCTAAAACAATTCCAAAGTTCCTCTTTTTCCCCTCTTTTTGTTCCCTATGTCAAAGAGAAAAGGATCATGTGGTCAATTTGGCTCATCTGGGCCCAATTATTGTTTGTTTCTTTAATATATTACGTACAAATGTTCAGACATGCAGCTTTGTTGAATTTGTTTTGGCTGTGTGCTTAGATTCTCAAATTATGTGCTAAAAGTCATTTGCCTGTTAGCTGTTTGTATTCATGAGGTGCTTGCAAGTAATGAACACAACAAACTCGACTTGTTTTTCTGGATCATTTTCCACTTTGGCTGTTTTACTGTTTGCATATCTGGCTTATCAATTTAAGCACACAAGTCATTGATTCCTAAATTGAGAGCTAACACAGTCATTATCTGATCTAGGTACATGTATTGATGGAAAACCCATTATCAACCTTCCAGAGAAACACATTGTACTGAGAAAAGTTGAATTTACGGATGAGGAACGAGAATTCTACTGCAGACTTGAAGCTCAATCACGTGCTCAGTTTGCTGTATGTTTAGATGTATTTTATATTGGATTTCGAGAACTTTGGCTTTGAATTCTTCTCTTCTTTTAACATAGCAAATTCTGGACTATTCAGGAATATGCTGCTGCTGGGACTGTCAAACAAAATTATGTGAACATACTCTTGATGCTTTTACGACTGAGACAAGCTTGTGATCACCCTCTTCTTGTTGGAGGCTCCAACTCCGGTTCTGTTTGGAGATCATCTATTGAGGAGGCCAAGAAATTACCACGAGAGAAATTAGCTGACCTTTTGAATTGCTTGGAAGCTTCTTTAGCAATTTGCGGCATATGCAGTGTATGTTATCATTTAAGTGTTCTTTAATATATGTTTATATCGATCTTATTAGTCCTTTCTTGTTGCTGCTGCTTATTTTGGAACTTCATTGTTTAGGTGGCCTTTTTAAATGTCATGCATCCTCTTCTAATTTGAAGGAAGTGTGATCTAAACAATTGGAGTTTTTAAACTAAAATTTTCAGATATTTAAAGCGTTGCCAGTTTCTATATTAGCTAGGATACATCTAGGAAGATTATGTGCACAAGCACTGATTCTCTGTTAAATGCATAGATGGTTCAGTTTAAGCATTGAATCTGACCCCCACCTAGAAAAGAGGTTTTTTACTGCTCAACTTCCATGTGTAATTCTTTCAATTGTTATGACACTTAAATGGATTTGCTGTATTTAAGCGGAGAAGGGTAGAGGAGCTGGCATTTAAGTGGATAAGCGTACAGAGAGGGGCTCATTATTAATTGAGTTGCGAACCATGCGCCATTGGCACTCAGGAATTTCTCCTTTATTAAAATAAGGCCTAGCTCGAGTGGCAAAAGGTGGAGGATTTGTGGCTTAGGTCGCAGGTTCAATCCCCACACCATGCAAAGCGAAGCCCGGCATTTAAGTGGAGAAGGGTAGAGGGGCGGTCCCATTATCCACCGAGTTTAGAAGGCTATGATTGGTCCAAAGGACGGGTCACAGACGGATTTCTCGGTTATCGAAAAAAAAATGTCAGGACCAAGACTATTTTGAAAAAAACATCAGTATCTAAGTAACAGCATTTATATGCTATGCGTTTCAATCCTTGTGATTGTAGCATTTTTAATATCTTTGTTTGTATTCTATTTTTGTATTTTCTCCAATTCTATCTTCGGTATTGCTGGGCAGTGTATTAAGAATCTGCGGCTTTTGAGGTTAATGGTGTAGTATGACCCTTGCTTAGTCCTCCCCTGTTGTTTAGGATGGATCCCCGCATGGTGATGCTTTCTTTTGCTAAACTAATACAACTTATTGCCATTTCTAGTTACAGTGCCTTCCTTTGATAATGCTCAAGTGATTTGTTCTATTCAAGGCAAAATAGAAATAGGTTATGTTTGGAAAATAGTGCTTAAATGTTCCAACATGGATGCTTTTGATATGTGACACCAGTTTTAAAATGATGATTTCAGCCTATAAGTTTTCTAGTTGTAAGCAACTATACTTATTTGATCTGTCTCTTACGACATTAAGCTATACTTCTCTTGTCTTGGATTTCTCTGTTATGGATCTTCTTGTTTCTTTCTTGCCTCCTTATGCATTTTTGTAACAATTTTGTAGGATCCCCCTGAAGATGCTGTTGTAACAGTTTGTGGACATGTCTTTTGCAATCAGTGTATTAGTGAGCATCTAACTGGTGATGACACTCAGTGTCCTGTATCTGCTTGCAAAGTTCAGCTGAGTGGTTCTTCAGTTTTCACTAAAGCAATGTTAAGTGATTCTCTATCTGATCAATCCAAGCTGCAAAATAACCCTGACTGTGCTGGCTCTGATGTGGCTGAAAGTTCAATTCGTAGTCCATATGATTCATCAAAGATTAAAGCTGCTCTTCAGGTGCTGCAATCTCTGCCTAAAGCTAAGGTTTGCACTCTTAGTGGTCGCCTTTCAGGATCAGACGATGAAGGAGCTTCTCCTTCAGAAAATACATGTGATAATCATGCAGGAGAATCCAGTGTGCATTCAAGTTCCAAAGACACAACCACAATAGCTGGAGAGAAGGCAATTGTCTTTTCTCAGTGGACGGGGATGTTGGATTTACTTGAAGCTTGTCTAAAAACTTCCTCAATTCAGTACCGTAGACTTGATGGAACAATGTCTGTTCTTGCTAGAGACAAGGCTGTCAAAGATTTTAACACACTTCCTGAGGTTAGATATCCATCTTCTTGGTACTGAGTGTGTTTCTTTTCTATTCTATAAATCATAGGACTAAATTTTGAACCTTCATTCCAGGTATCAGTCATAATCATGTCTCTGAAAGCTGCAAGCCTTGGGCTTAACATGGTTGCAGCTTGTCATGTTCTTCTCTTGGATCTTTGGTGGAACCCTACGACTGAGGATCAAGCAATCGACAGGGCGCATCGGATTGGACAGACCCGTCCTGTTACAGTTTTGCGGTTGACTGTAAAAGATACAGTTGAAGATCGTATTTTGGCTCTTCAGGTATTACATGATTTCATCTTTTTTCACTTTTTATTTTTAATCTAGCAACATGCCTAAAGTGTTTTTATCAATATAAATATAATGATAAACGTAGATGGTCATGATCTTCTGTTGAAGGATTTAGATGTCAGCACTGGGTTTCATTATTTGTTCAAGTCAAGTTTGTGGTTTCCTTTTTCTGCATCTTTGCTGGTTTCTCACTTCCTCTATATTCTAGAATTCTAATGTGGTAACACTGGTATTAACAGCAAAAGAAAAGAGAAATGGTTGCCTCTGCGTTTGGAGAGGATGAGACTGGTAGCCGACAGACTCGTCTAACTGTGGAGGACCTGGAGTACCTTTTCAAGCTTTAATCGGCATCCCATTTTTGCAGTAAGCTGATGTTTAATTGCGGCTTGGGCTATCTTAATTTTTTTAAATTTGAAAACTGGTTCAGCAGCATATACAATTGAGGCGTTGGTTCTTAGGTTCCATAGTATTGACAAAAAAAGATGACCTTACTAAAAAAGATGATTTATGAGACTATCTTCAAAGATTCATATGATCCATTTTTTTTTTTATAGCTATTGGTTACCTTGTGCAGGGGTTGGATTTTAGTGGATTACACCCAAATGAGAATGAGACTTAGATCAGTCTCTGTAGATTCTTTGCTTAGAAAATGTAAATGATAGATCTCATGGACTTATTCTTGGGATAGGGTTTAGGATATATTGCCTAGTAGTTTAAGTTGTAGACAGTAAGTAATATTTGTTTCTAGCTTTTGGGTTGTAAATTTTCACATTCAACTTTAATACAGAACCATGGCATCATGGCAATTCTTTTTCATTTGAAGGTTTCTATAGAACTTCTCTTCTAAGTTATTGTGGTTTATACCATGGATGTAATGTAATGTGAAGTTCTTCGACCCTCCCAATTCTGTGCGGTAACATTTTGGTTCTCCCTTCTGGCAGCTCGATGCGTTTTTAGGTCTCGCTATGCACAGGGTTTGGGGAAGGGCTGGACTAGAAAGGTCTATTGTTCATTTCTTTCAATTCTATTTTGATTACACTTTTGAAACGAGGGTCTACAAGAAACAATCTTCTCTACCCTACAAAGGTAGGGGTAAGGTTTGTGTTCATCCTATCTCTCAAAATTTCACTTGTGGGGTTATAGCGAGTATGTTATAGAAATCAAGGTTGGCTCCTAGGTCATTTGGTTCACATGCTAGTTATGCGGAGATTATAGTGCATGGATTAATTATAGTAGTGAAGGAATTGCTTATGGAGCAAGTAGTAGTGACTATGTTGAGCAATAATTCTAGTGTTATGCAACAATGACAACAAACAATAATATAATCCTGTGTAATCGCACAAGTGGGACGGGAAAGGGTTATCTTTATCTTATGAAGGCAGATAGACTCTTTTTGAGAGGCTCTTGACTCAAGTAGAACAACTCTAAGCAAGTATGGAAAGGAAACATTGTAGGCGAAATCATGTATTATTGAGAAAATTCGTAAACAACAAAAAAATACATTAACGAAGCAAATGAATGAAGAAGATAGTAAAAAGGTGGTTATAATACGAATGGTGAGAAAAATTAGACAACATTCGACAAACCATTGATTTTCTTCTCTTATTCTGACCTCCATATCCTCTTAGTTAAGGTCATATCCTTGATAAGTTGCAGGTGTGTTAGGTCTTGTCAAATCACCTTTTCAAATACTTATTTGGTCTGCCTCTACCTTCCATACCCATCTTAGCTAACCTCACACCTTCTCTTAAGGATATTTTCGTATTAAAATATGTTAATTTATGTAGATGCTGATATTCTTATCTCATATTTTATCCTACATAAATTAATGTACAAACTACTGTAATACTTACCGTGTTGCTCCCTTTGATTCAATTTATGTTATATTTTTCATTTTTTGAAATTCAAATTATGTGAATTCTGAAATGTTTTAAAAAAAAAACTAAATTGGTATGAGAAAGAAGTGCAACTTGCAATACTTTTCGAATAGTTCTTGAATCTATAAATTTTAATTTTAAAATATTAAGTTGATTTAATCTAATTCAACTTTGAAGATTAGTTAAATTGATTCTCGAACAACAAAACGTATTACATAAATCAAGATGGGGAGATTACTTAATACTGTCGATCAAACATAGCATTAGTTTATGTTAGAGAAAACAATCAAAACGGTTCTTGATGTATAAGGGTTGCTTCATAATAGTCCTTAATATATTTCACTTGATTGACATGGTCCTTAATGTATAACAAATGATGTTGATTTTGGTTTTTTCTTCTAAACCTAATATGCTTGTCAAATTTTTTTATATATTAAATTTAACTGTGGACCTCACATAATTGACAAAATCTATCAATTTTTTTATTAGCTTCAAAGAAAGAGCTCTATGAAATCTAACATCATTTTCTTCCACACAAAATTTGCTATTTTTCTCTATCCTAAATTATTATTCGATCTCCAAAGACACTTTTAGTTTTTTCATAGTAAAACTCTTTAAGAAATTTCACTTTCTTAATTTCGGTTTTTGATTGAAGTTTGTTAGCTTTGAATCCTCACTGCGGCATCATGAAGCAAAGTAGCAGTTTTTGCAGGTGCATGACCTCAGAAGGTTTCGAAACAAAGCTTGCTCTGAGTCTCAGTTAAAGCTGAAAATTTCGAATAGGATAGGTTTGGAGTCAGAAATCTTGTTCCTGCCAACCAAATAAGTACTTTTACAATGTTCACTTTCCCGCAGTCATAACAGGAAAGGAAGCAGCACACCAGGACGAACTCCTTCATTTAAATATCAATTCAAAGTCTCCTTTCCTTACTCATTAGGAGAATCTCCAAAGAAATTCAAAGCGCCTATGGTAGCGTAAAACTACCCAATATTTGAAAATTTAAGATGTTGGGATTTGACTAAGGTAAAATTATGGAACTAGTAAAAATTAATTACTTTTTATGGAAAATAGCTTTAGTTTAAAAATATTATAAAAGAGCAATATGTTGTTTTTATAGCAAACCCTTCCCCTCTCTCCCTTGCGTCCCCCCCCCCCCTCTCTCTCATGACAATAAGAAGAAATCCATTCAAATGTATTATGTATCAATTGATTCAATCAAATATTTGCGAGAGTTTTGTATTTTATTTCAATTGTATTGGAAAAACTGTATTTTGTATCAATTGTATTTGTATTCATACGAATACATTATGCATTCCTTCTCTCTGTCAAATGTGTTTGTATCCAATCAAAGAGAGGATGAATACAATTGTATGATTTGTATTTCGAATACAATTGTTAGAACATAAATAAAGAATACAATGCAAAATAAATACAAAATATAATTTGTTGTATCTCGAATACAATTGATACAAAATAAATATAGAATATATATAATGCAAAATAAATACAAAATACAATCTCTCTCCTCCCTTTCTTGATCTCGATCTCGCTCGCCTCTCTCTCCTCTCCTCTCCTCCCCCCTCTCTCTCTTGATCGCCTCTCTCCTATTAATATGTATTCATTGTGATACAAATCAATTTATATTTGTGTTTTTTTCTCTCCAAAATTTGCGAAAAATACAGCCTCTCCTCTTTCTCTTGGATCTCGCTCGCTTCTTTCCTCCCTCATCCCCTAATATTTTTTTATTATTCGTAATTAAGAAAAAAACTATAACCGTAGAATGTCTAATGTTTGCTATTTTTGAAGTTTTCCTTTGATTAATTGGCTTTTGAATTCTCTTGATTTGCATGGAGCAGGTCTTAAGGAGAAGAAAAATGAAGTCTATTGAGCTAAAAATGTCTCAAAAAGTGAATTTAGTTTGTCATTGTTTTTTCTAGTGACTTTGGAGATTATAGTAATAATTGAATAAAGAGAAAGTAATGAATAATGTTAAGAAAAATAGAGAAAATTGTGTTAGAATTTATGCAACTCTTTCAAATCTTGGATATGGATAAAATGTTGTTGGGAGTGCCACCTCCGAATGAGTCTTACAATGTGTATGATCTGAATTTAGTTGGGGCTGCAATGTGGCTCCGAACATTGGGTGGAAAATAAAAAAAAAAGAAACTCTTTCTTTTGAGTTGTTAAAGAACACAACTTTTAACAGTTTTTTTTTGATAAATTTTTTAGGTTTAGGGTAAATGATCAAATTGAACATGTTTTGTTATACACTAAGGACCATTTCAAGTGAAATATATCAAGGAGCAAGATAACAATCCTTATACATCAAGGATCATTTGTGACACCCTCCCGTTTGAACTTTAGAATTAACTTGTACTTTTGGAATAAGTCTAAGACTACCTACCATATTAGGAAGAATTTTATATGAGTTATTTTGAGTGCAAAATGTTTGTATGTTAAGTTTTAAGTTCAAGGAAGTTGCAAAATAAAAGTCGGCAAAAGTTCTTGTAAATGTCATTAAGGAATTCTCTGTAATTTAGGGTCAGATGTCTCAACAATTTTCTCCGAATATATAAAGAGCTAGAATACCAATGGCCCATCAAATCGAAGGTCTACAAGTCTAGTTTCCAACGCACTAAACCATTCATCAATACGACTTCAGAATTGAGAGATATGCAGGTTTTCGTGAGATTGCGCAAGCATACACCTCGAAGTGGGTCCCCCAGACCCTAAGTCAGTTATTCTTTAAATACACCCGTCTCCTTCATTTTTCCCATTACAACTGATAAAACCCCCCAGAAAAATTAGAACTCATGCTACTAAATCCTCCATGGGTGATGATTTTTTCACCTTAGAAGTTTAACGGAAGTTTCTCCAGATCGCGTTGTGGTATAATTTTCTTATTGATTTGGATTCCGATTGTTGTAGCTGCAATGAGGAAGAATCTTAGTATTATTATTTCGGACATTTTGGTTGAGGTAATCTTATTTTTGCAACCGTCCTTCATAGTTCCATGTCGTAGTATTATATATACAGATTTTTGAGCCACGTGATGGTGTTTTTGGTATTGTGGTTGTGAGCAGCCCATTTGTCTTATTTAATTTCGTTGTTAATGTTGTTTATTGATAGTTTTAAGGTGCTGGAGGTTATTGGGGGGTTAGTTTGATTCTTATTGGAGTCGCGTATGATGGTTGTTGGATTGAACGGCGTGAAGTACGTCTAATTATGTTGCCTCGGGAGCTTGTGCTCCTTCGAGATGTTGTTGGAATGTTTTCGATGGATTTAACTGCTGATTATTGTTATTTTCAACCTCATTTTATGGGTTGGACTTTTCTGGTCATAAGCGTGGCATTAACGTCTTATTAACTACTTATGGTTCGTTCTTACAGCCTTGTTGATTTTTCCGTTATTGCGTCACTTTGGTTGGCCAAGCATCATAGAGACAACTTTTGGACATTGGTTGAAAGGTATGTTAAGGCTATTATTTATCTTCTGGCATGATCCTAATAGCCTAAGCTTGTTATGACCGGTGTATTATCATTAGTTGACATGCAACCCTGTCCTGTTGAGTTGGCTACGACCATATGATATAATGTCTATCGGTGACACTCTACTCCTTACTTAATAGCCTAAAAAAGGTGGTTATGATTATGTTTTGATTAATTATGATTAATTGTTATTGTTATGATGTTTTATCGTTGCCTAAGTAGACATTGACATTGCAGGGTTCTTGAGCATACAAATTGATTTTTATACCGAGCCTACAGGCCGGGTAGACTGAACCTTCGGGCCGGGTGGACCGAGCCTACAGGCCAAGTAGGCTGTACCTACGAGGCAACATATTTGTATTGTACCACAAAGGCTCAGATTCACTTTGATTCATGGCATACCTACGAAGCAACATATATGTATTGTACCAAAGAGCCTCAGATTTGCGTTGATTCATGGCACATGTACATTCAAACAATTCATATCATATTAACATTGGATCCAGGTAAGGGGGCTAATATGGATATTTAACGATTGTTTGCGTATATTAGGACCTATAGGGATTGTGTGTTGTTTGTATCTACTGGGCTTGTGGGGACCATGTCAGGTTATTGCTTTCTACGTGCTTATATTTTTATGTTATAGGGAGCTAAGGTATTATACTTCGGTCTCATCCTAGCCCTTTCCATTTAGTTCTTATACTTCAGTTTACCTTACATACTCAGTACATTATATTGTACTGACGCCCCTTGCTTGGTGGCGCTGCATTCATGCTTGCAGGTCCTAAGCGATGACAAAAGAGACCTGTCGAATAACCCCACCACCTATCAAGCATTTTGGTTGACTCCTTTCTTCCAAGGGTTGCCAGAGCTCCAGAGGTTTGCTTATTCTTCTTTTTAAAGATTTTGGGTAGGCTGGGGCCTTGCCCCATCCAAGTGTTATATTCGTAGAGGCTTGCAGTGTGTTGGGTTGTTAGTCATGTTATTGGCCTTGCTTTCTAGTCAGCCAATGTTTGATAGTTTCTTGGCATAGTGTTTATATCTATTCCTATTTTCAGTTTCTGTATAAAGATCATGGTGGCTTTGATATTAGCCCACATAGCGTTTATGCTTTCCTAGATACTGTGGTGGTCTCGACGGTAAGCTAGCCGGTTATTTCTTTATATAAACTTTTGAGAGTAGTTGTTTTCCTTGCAGAGCTGTTAATAGGGGGCTTGCGACCGATGACTTATTTTTAAGCCGAGATATACTTGTTTGTTTTCTTAACTGTGTGTAGCTGCCATACGCCGTAAGCAAATGGTTAGCAGGGTCGGCTTAGGCCTAAGTTTTGGCATTACGTGCCATTTGTGCCCTTTAAGTTTGGGGCGTGACATCATTTTGATCGTTTTCTCGTTTATGTTGTCAATACTTTTCTCCCCCGCAGTTTTTTCATCATAAATTTTTACTCTTGGATTTTTTAAGTCTATTTTGAAATGATTTTTTTTAGCCAAACTTCTCAACAAAAAAATCAATAAATCTGATTTAAAGTAGGAATAAAGTCTATGTATATTCATTTTCATTAGATCTCACTTATAAAAATCACACTAAAAATATTGTGTTGTGAAATATAAAAATAATTAAAGTGAAGAGTTAAAAACACACCTCATTTTTTTTTTTTAGTTACATAATTATTGGGAATGTGAGAAACACACCTAAACGATCACTCAAGTTTGAGAATCACACCTCAAGTAATATGTGATGGTGTGTATGTTATGCTTTTTTTTTAAAAATAAAATAAAACTGCCACGTCAAAAAATTCCACTATTTTCTCTCAACGTGTGTCAATAATTCTGAGTAAAATTAGGAATATTTCACTACTAAGCCACAATTTTGTCATAGTTTAAACATCGTTAATGATTTGCCAAAAAGAGTTAGGATTCTTATTCTTTATCTCAAAATATTTGATGATTTTGTATAAAATAAAGAAGGATGTTGAAAAAAAAAAAAAGTAATATTGGTGAAGAAATGAAGAAAAATGGTTGAAAAATGATGAAGAAGAATTCAAGGCTAGACAACCCTAAATGAATGTGTATACACATATTTGGTCTCGTAAGCATTAAGACGTATCTCTTAAATTAATCAGTAATAATTTAGCTCAATTTTTTTTACTAAGTTGGGGTAGTCAAATAGCCAACCAACTAAGCTGTTACAATCCTCCTATGTTCTGTATAATCATAAATAAGAATAAGATATTTTTTTTCAATTATACAATTTGACATACGAAAAATATGGTATAATGATCAATGAAGTGAGTTGAGAATCACGAGATCTCAAAAAAAATATTCAAATTTCAGTAAAAAAAATAAACATGAGTAGTAGATGATTTCTTCTTATTTGGCCTACCTTTGATAGAACTAGTCGAAATACGCACAAATTGGTCTGGAGACACCATGGTTATCGCAAAAATAAATCATAACTTTTGCTTATAGTTGTGAATGATTTTTGTGTAAACAAGTCTTTAATTTTACTACCAAAAATTGTTTCAAACATGGTCCTATGGTCTAGCGGTTAGGACATTGGACTCTGAATCCAGTAACCCGAGTTCAATTCTCGGTAGGACCTTTACTTTTTTTTTAATTTTGAATTTATTATAATTTGATTACTTTCTGGTTTTATAACTCTATGATTCAACAAAGTATATTCTTTCATAAGTGAATACAAAATGCTTTGTATATCAAGTTGTCTTTTGAGCAAATATGGAATCTTGATTTTGTTGGGAAAAATGCAACCATGATATCAATCTATTTGAAGAGGGAACCGTTTCTTGAAAAAAATAATAATCTTGCAACTACGAAAATCGCAATACAAGCACTCCCTTTTCCATGGATGTCAATTCCTTCTCAGATCCCATCTATTTCATTCTTCTACCGAGTCGACTAACTTGATGGAGATAATTCAACCTACATCATTCTTCAAGAAAAATTTCTAAAGTCTTTAACAAATATGGCACACCAATGAACTAGAAATGTGATTTGCAACAAAATTTTCACCAAACAGTTCATCATCTGCTATATATACCTAAAATATACTTTTGACCTTATATATATAGTGAAATTGTTGAACTTGAACTAGGGGTCTTTCAAAAACAACCTCTCTACCTCCATGAGATAGTGATGAGGCCTGTGAACACTCTAGCCTCCCCGACCCTACTTATGAAGTTTCATTGGATATGTTGTTACATATATAGTGAAATTTTCCTGCAACGGATTCATATGAACCCCTTCTGGCCCTGTTCAGTACCTATTGTTCAACCATGCCAATATATCACTATGAACCACCTCAATATTTTCATCAAACAACAAAGAATGCATCACAGGTTCACACCATAAATCTTCAATGTCTTTTCTGTGCTTTTAGCCAATTTATACTATTCCCTGCTCACTTCTGGATCAGTGACAACATCAGCACTCCCATGTACAACAACAACAACGACAACAACATAGTAAGATCTGAGGAGGGTGGTATGTATGCAGCCAAACCCCTACATTGTGAGGGTAGAGAGGGTGTTTCCAACATCAACACGCATGTAAGATCAAACCAGGAATGGCAGGTTGATCCCACATGTTAGACTATTCTCTTGAGTATATGTCATATTTCACCACCATAGGTATCAAATAACTTTCTCCATTAAAGCTTAGTCAAATAGAAAGAAATCACAATTGTCTAGAGTACATGCTATCACAAGCATAACTACCGGATAACTTTGCCACTACAACTTAGACAAATAAAAAAAGAAATCACTTAAGCATGAATAACATGCTTTCCATAGTCATACAGCAATATGATTCATTCATAAGTAAATGTACAATCTTGATTAGTCTAAATGGAAAGCTTTGCCATGAAAGTCTGCAAAATACAGATAATCCAGTCCACATCATTCATGGAAAGAGAACTTCTAAAGTTTGTATCTTTAACAAATATAGCACACACTAATGAACTTTGAATTGGATGAATATGAATATAATCCAAGTATAGACTTCTCCACACAAGCTGTGAAGACAAGTTTTTCACCACAAGGTTCATCATCGACTATACATACCCAAAAAAAAACTTTTAACCATGTATATATAGTGTGATTTGCCAGCGACGGATTCATACTAGATCTGCCCCTGCTCAACATCTATCATTCAACCATGCCAATATGTCACTATGAACAATCTCAACATTTTCATCAGCCTCTCCAATCAAACAATATGATTCAACAAAGTTGTAAAACATCCATTCATAAGCAAACACAGAATGCTTCAAAGCAAATATCCAATCTTGATTCTGCTGAAAAAAATGCAATCTTTATATCTAGTCTACTTGGCAAGCTCTACACCTCATTCTTTGAGAAAAGAACTTCTAAAGTTTGGATCTTTAACAAATATGACTCACACTAATGAACTAGAAATGGGATTAATACGAGTCAGATATGTATTTAATCCAAGTGCAGACAATTCAGCATGAGTGGCGGAGACACGACTTTCATCAATCGTCAAGGGTACTGTATATACCTAATAAGTACTTTGGACCTTGTATATATAGTGTGATTTTCCAGCAACGGATTCATACGAACCCATTCAGCTCCTCTAGATCCGCCCCTCTCAGCATCTATCATTCAACCATGCCAATATATCACCACGAACAATCTCAACATTTTCATCAGTCTCTCCAAACAACAAAGAATGCATCATACCATCATAAATTTTCAGTGTCTTGTCTGTACTTTTCGCCAATTTATACAATTCCCTACTTACTTCTGGATCAGTAACAACATCAGCACTCCCATGTAACACCAAAAAGGGCATATTCACATCACATAGTTTGCTACTAACATAATCAGTCACACGTAAAAGCTCAACAACAGTACCCAATCTTGGTTTTCCAAAATACCTATTAGGATTCCTCCCACCAATAATCCTTTTTTCTGGTACTTTAACAGATTTTTCCAACAAATCAGCTGTTGGTACAACAGCCAAAGTTGGTGCAAATCTTGCAACTAATGTCAAGAACTGAGCAATTGGCCATATGGGTTTTACTTTATCAGAGATTTTACACATGGGGGCTATCAAAATCCCACCATTAAACTCTTTAGGTCTTTTCAAATGAATCAAAAGACAAATTGCACCACCCATTGACTCACCAAAGAGGAATTTAGGCAAATCTTGAAATTCAGGATTTTGGGTCAAAACAAAATTGAAAAAAGACAAACAATCATCAATAACTAAATCAAGATTAGGTACATAAGCTTTAAGACCTTGAGACTGGCCATGCCCTTCAAGGTCCAGAGCAAAACAAGCAAAACCCTTTTTAGCTAAGTGAATTGGGGTTGCTTGAAATGTCCAACTGATGTCATTTCCATAGCCATGGACCATAAAAATGATACCTTTAGGTGGGGTTTTGGTGGAGGGTAACCATGATCTAGTGAAAAGGGTTAAACCTCTAGGTGAAGTGAAAAAAGATTTAGTAGATTTGATACCTTGGAGAGTATAGTAATCTTCTTCTGGAGTATTTCCCCAATAATGGAGGAGAGGAGATTTGTTTTGCTCTTCCTCCATTATAGCGAATGAGTTTTCTTCTCTTTGGTTGTGAAGAAGAGAGAACAACAAAAATGAGTGGTCAATTTTTTTTTTTGGTTTTTCATTTAGATTCTTTACTCCTATTGTACTCTGACTAATTCATATTTATATAAAATAGAATTTCATTTGGGAGGAAACATTCCTTTCAAACATTTTTTCATATTCGAACTCAAAATTTCTAATTAAGAAAGGAAAAATCTTATCTGATGCATCATATTCTTAGTCACATTTATAAAAGTTCTATCTTTTTGGTTCCTAATCAATTTTTTTGACATATTTGTTGGAAGTTCCTATTGTGGTTTAAGGGTTTTTTAGAGACCGTTTGGATTGACTTAAAAAAATAACTTTTAAGTCAAAATGAAATGATTTTTAAGTCAAAAAATAAAAAGTAGGAAGAGACCTACTTTTGGTTTCTGAATTATTTTAAGTTATTTTTTACCTTGCCAAACACTTCGTAACTTATTTTTTATATTTGTCAAATACTTTCAGAAGTAAAAAACTGACCTAAAAATATGTTTGACTAACTTTTAAGCCAATCCAAACACCCTTAGTCATGTTGAAAGTCAACTCAATCAAATTGGTAATCAAGTTGTTGTTGGAAAATATTATTGAGTCAGGTTCATTCATAAGCGATGTTAATTAATTCATAAATGGATTAGTTAGTATAATAATAATATAATCAGTATATTGTAATAAGTGAGATTGAGAAAGATATAAAATATATACATATTTTACTTCTAACCTTGTAAAGGTAGAAAAATTATTTTTAAAATCAAATTGGTAATCAAGTTGTTGTTAGAAAATATTATTGAGTCAGGTTCATTCATAAGCGATGTTAATTAATTCATAAATGGATTAGTTAGTATAATAATAATATAATTAGTATAATGTAATAAGTGAGGTTGAGATAGATATAAAATATACACAGACTTTACTTTTATACCTTGTAATGGTAGAAAAATTATTTTTAAAAAAGATTCTCAACTCAAAAAGAACAAATTAGATAGTCCTAAAAAAAACATAGTTATTGAGCTATAAATATATAATTATTGTAGACATTGAAATTTTGTGGGATTCTATAAGGTGTGTGCAAATCTAATTAGGATTCTTAGAGGCTACTCAACCCTAAACCCCACTTCATGTCAAAGGATACTATATTCCCTTAAAAGACATCTCGAATATTCTGCGAATTCTAAAATATTTATAGACAGATCAAAATCAATCATCCTAGTTTGAGAAACACGTACCTAACGACACTCGAAACACGGATAAATCTTTTGAGAGAAAAATCAAGGGAGAAAAAAAGTTGTACTCACAATCTTGATCAATAAAATTATGTTTTTTCATATTTTATTTCATAGTTTATTTATGATTGCTGTTTAATTTCTATCACTTTTAAAATTTGTTGCAAACAATTATGGCGTAGGATAATTAGATTTTTCTTACTTTTTTTGTTAGGAAAAAACAATGACTAGGTTACTACTTTCTTGCAACATACTAAAATATTTAGGCTGTGGACAAAAGATCTAGATATTAATTATAATTCTTAGGAGCTTGCCTTTCACAAAAAAATAATAATATGCCAATGCCAACTTAGAAATTTGACAGGAACAAAATTAAAGAAGAATATGAAGACTAAAAAATGCTTGAAATATAATATATACTATATTATTACAATATTAAAAAAAAGTGATTACCCAATTCCTTGCAAGAGTTACTTTTGCAATCACTCTTTCACTATAATAATATTTTCAACAATTACATGAAACATAATCTTAGATTATGTGAAGCAAACCCTTTTGTAGACCAACCAAAGGAATTATAATTCTTTGGATTTTGCCTTTTAAGAAAACTTATCCCAATATCACCATGTTGTTTCATGTTTTTCTCATAATTGACACATGCATTGGCTTTGACAATCTCAATCTTTTTCTTTTTCTTCTTTTCTTGAAGTGGCATTATTTGAGTTTGTTCTTTTTGACTAAGTGGAATGTAAATAGCTCTCATTATGTCTTCAAGTATTGCTGATTTTGTATCAAATAAATTGCAAGAATTGAAGAACATGTGAAACACATTTAAACAAGAAAGGTGAAGGAGCTTCATTGTTCTTGGCATATCATTGAATCCATCCATTAAAACATTTTCAAGAAATTCTTTCTTTTTATCTCCCAAGATCACTTTCACAAAATCTATTGAGTCTTCAATTTGTCCCATAGGGTTTTCATTAAAGTGAAGTAATGTGTAATTCATCTTCCCAACTTCTCTTTCTTTCTGCATATGATCAATAAAATCATGCACCATTAAAAATTAGTATAGGTACAAATTCATATAGTACTAAAAATAGGAATTAGGTACAAAATTCGTCGCTAAATATCTCCTAGCTATATGGATTGAATTGTGACAATAGATTGACATCACTTTATGTCAGTAGGACCCTTGTTACATTTTCTATTTTATAAGATAATGTAACTATAAATAATTTCATTAAGGCGTAATAAATTTTGTTAGATGGAATTATTAGTGAACTTACTTGATAGCTTTGGATGTCATTCAACAAACGAGTTGTGGTCATGAGCAACTTTGTAATGTTTTCATATTGGCCATTAATTGGCCCAAACATTTGATTTGGCAAAATTGAACATCCAAGAGAAGCAGCATGAAGAACTAAAATATGTGCACCAATTGATATCATGCCAACTTGTAGATATTTATCCCTAGATGGCAAATTTGAAGTTCTACTCCATAAGCTTTCCATCATCCATGCATCAAATGTCTCCTTCCACTTTTAAAAAATAAAAATAAGAAGAATTAGCTTAAATAGTCGTTTATCAAATAATTTAAATATAGTGGATGGATATGTAATATATTTATAATATGTGTATAGTTGTGTATAATCAGTATATACTTTATGTGCACGACTGAAAAAAGTAAACAGTAAATCTGATAAGCTATTTGTGTAAACATTTCGTAAAACAACAACATTTTTATATTTGGAAATGAATTTTGAGCGTGTAGAATAATAATATGTATATGCATAAAATAATAATATTTGAGTCCTTAGGTCAAAGGGTGTTTAGTTGAACATCCATCATTGAATGATTATAGTTCTCTCTCTTTATATATGTATAATTATCATTGGCGATATTCTTAATCTTGTCATGCTATATATACAATACAACTTTCGATTAAAGGATATTCAACTGATCACCTTTCGATAAATATTGCTTTGCCCCTCCCTATACTATACCCTACTTATAGGGATAAACAATGGTTCATATATTTTTCTTCAAATTTGAGTTTAACTTTTATATACTGACAATTAAATAAGATGAGAAAACTTACCATATGTCGAAGTTGTGGGGTGATGTCAATTTTGTGTTGAAGATGATACATTTTGGCGACATCACACACAAGATCATCAAGTGCTTCAAATATGATCTTACTTGGTCCATCAAGATTCTTTGCATCCCACCTATGACAAAATAATATTAATTAATTAACACGTTTAAATTTTATACATTGATACTATAAAAAATATTTACACGATCAGATTATATATAAAAAATTTTATTGAATTACCTTTGTATTGCCTCACTTAAGATATGGAGTTCACTTAAAGAGGCTTCTTCATCATAAAAATCATCAGCAACAGTAATAACTATGGAACATTTTGCAACAATTAATCTAAGAAAAGATTCATAAGGTAGAAAACTACTACTACTTGCTGCACTTGCAAAATAAGAATAAGTAGTTTTTTCTCTCCCAAATCCAATATCTACAAGGTCTTTCTCTTTTGACCACCTACAAATCCACAAATAAAATAAAATAAATAAATACATTAAATAGAAAAAAAAACCTTTATTGTAATGACTAGAATGATGTAATATAATACAGATGTAATTTATATAGACAGTACTGCGAGTAAAGATAGAATTAGAATTTGAAATTTTATAAGGGTTTTAGATTTTAGTTATCCTTTCTACATTTTAAATTTATAATTGTACATATTTAATGATTTTTTAAGACAAATATAACATCTCGATCAAAGCTATTCAATTCTATCAAATTTGTACCATAAACAGTGCATCCAATCTTGATTATGAGGATATTTTAGCTCTTGTTTGATCACAGATTTTGAAGTTGAAATTTAAAAATTTGAGTTTTTGAAGTTGTGTTTGGAGTTTGGACATGCACTTTATTTGGGGAAAAAATGAAGTTCTGTGACTGGAAATGAAATTTCTCCAAAAACTAGTTTGGGTCCATTTTTAGAAATTTGAAAATATTTTGAAGATATATTTTCAATGTCTAATAAAATTTTATGATCAAACAAATAATTTATACTGTCAGTACATAAAAGTTAAAATTATCGATAGCATTATTATTATATATGAAGATAAAAGGGCATTGTGTTTGTACCTCTTTAGGTCTTCCAATTCCTTCCTATAAATTGACTGTCGATATTCATAATTTTGCACAGCTAATTGCATTAGCTTTTCATTTTGCAGATAAGCCAACCTAAGAAAATTAACATTTTTTAAACTAAATAATAATATATAATTTATGTAAATAAAAATAATAATGTATGCTTACCAATAAAATGAAGATTTTGCAATAGAGAGAGGGATAGATTGATTTAATTCAATCCATAATCTGTGATCAAGATGTTCTAATCGAGCAAACCATGGTACATTCAACTCATGCTCAATCTATAAATTAAAAAAAATAAAATTAGCATGTGAAAAGAACATATTGTTTCAGTTACAATTTCATCTGAACTCAATAGTTTCGATACGAAGTATAGATACATACATAAACATTTACTAAAATCTTAACAAATATTAGATATGAATTAATTAAAATTTACATTTTTTTTCTTTCAGTGTTCGGTATCCATATTAAAGCCCAATTAAATTCATATTCACATCATAAAGTCCTACATTGAGAGTAAAACGCTCTCAAACAAAGGCGACTTCGTACCCAGGGACTCGAACCCGTGACCCTTACCACTAATAAAAAATTATGTTTAAACAATCT